ATGCCTCCAGCTTTGTTCTTTTTGATTAGGATTGCAGTGATTTTGGGTTTTTTTTTTTTGCTTCCACATGAATTTAAGTATTTTTTTTTATATCTGTGAAAAATTGCAGATAGTTTAAAAGAGATTGTGTTAAATTTGTAGATTTCTTTGTGCATGATAAACATTTTAATGATATTGAGTCTTCCAATTCATGAGAATAAAAAGTTTTTTCATTTGTACCCATCATCTTTTATTTCTTGCAGCAGGAGTTCGTAGTTCTCATTGTAGATATATTTTACCTTGGTTAGATATAGTCCCAGGTTTTTTTGTTTGTTGGTTGGTTTGTATGTGTGTGGCTATTGTAAATGGGATTGTGTTCTTGGTTTGGTGTATATAGAATTGCTACTGATGGCCGGGTGCAGTGACTCAGCCTGTAATCCCAGCACTTTGGGAGACTGAGGCAAGAGGATTGTCTGAGCCTGGGGCTTCAAGACCAGCCTGGGTAACTTGGTAAGACCTCGTCTCTACAATAAAATCACAAAAGCTAGCCTCACATGGTAGCGCGTGCCTGTAGTTATGGCTACTTGGAAGGCTGAGGTGAAAGGATCGTCAGCAGGTCAAGATTGCAGTGGCCATGAGCATGCCACTGCACTCCAGCCTAGGCAACAAGAATGAGACTCCAACTCAAAAAAAAAAGAGTTGCTACTGATTTTTGAACATGAATTTTGTATCATGAGATTTTATTGAAGTCATTTCTCAAATCTTTTGGTGTTTTCTAGATATAGAATCATATCATCCACAAAGAGGGATAATTTATCTTCCTATTTTCCTATTTGGATACATTTTATTTCTTTCTCTTGCCTGATTGCTCTGACTAGGACTTCCACTATTATGTTAAATAAGAGTGGTGAGAGTGGTCATCCTTGTCTTGTTCCAGTTCTTAGGGGGAATGCTTCCAACTTCTGCTAAGTTAGTACAGTGTTGGCTGTGGGTTTGTCATGGATGGCTCTTATTATTTTGAGATATGTTCCTTCAATGTCAAGATGGCTAAAAAAATTTTTTTAATCATGAAGTGATGTTGGATTTTATTTAATATTTTTTCTGCATCTATTGAGATGATCATGTGGTTCTTATTTTTAATTGTTTATGTAGCGAATTACATTTATTGATTTGTGTATGTGGAACCAATCAAGCATCCCAGGAATAAAACCCATCTGATCATGGTGAATGATCATTTTTATGTACTTACTGCTAGATGTGGTTTGCTAGTATTTTGTTGAGGATTTTTATATCTATGTTCATCAGGGATATTGACCTGTAGCTTTCTTTTTTTGTTGTTTCTTTGCTAGATTTGAAATCGGGATGATATTGGCTTTGTAGAATGAGTTAAGGAGGAGTCCCTTCTCCTCAATTGTTTGGATTAATTTCAGTAGGATTGGTACAAGCTCTTCCTTGTATATCTGGTAGAACTTGGCTATGAATCCATCTGGTCCAGAACTTTTTTTTAGCAGGTAGATCTGTTATTACTGATTCAATTTCAAGGCTTGTAATTGGTTCAGGATTTCTTTTCCTTCTTGTTTCAATCTTGAGAGATTGTGTGCTTCCAGGAATTTATCCATTTTCTCTAGATATTCTAGCTTACATGCATACAGATGTTTATAATCTCTGAGAATCTTTTGTATTTCTTTGGGATCAGTTGTAAAGTTGCCTTGTTTCATTTCTGATTGTGTTTGTTAGGGTTTTCTCCTTTTTTTATTCTTATTTTTATTAATCTGGTCAGGATCTGTGCATTTTAAAAATTCTTCCAGATTATCAGCTTTTGTTGATCTTTTGTATGTTTTTTTTTCTTTTTTGTCTCAATTATGTTTAATTTTGCTCTCATTTGATTATCTCTTTTCTTTTGCTAGCTTTAGGTTTAGTTTGTTCTTGTTCTAGTTTTCTTAGGTGAGATGTTAGGTTGTTCATTTGAGATCTTCCTATCTTCTTGAGGTGGGTATGTACTGCAAGAAATTTTCCCCTTAGCATTGTTTTTGCAGTGTCCCAAAGGTTATTTTGATAAGTTATGTCTTTATTTTCATTTGTTTAAAATAATTTTTAGCCAGGCACAGTGGCTCATGCCTGTAATCCCAGCACTTTGGGAGGCCGAAGCAAGAGGATTGCCTGAGCCCATGGGTTCAAGATCAGCCTGGGCAACTTGGCGAGACCTTGTCTCTACAATAATAAAAAAAAATTAGCTGGGCATGGTGGTACACACCTATAGGTTCGGTTACTTGGAAGGCTGAAGTGGAAAGATTGCCTGAGCCCAACAGGTCAAGGCTATGGTGGCCATGAGTGACAGAGTGAGACAGAGATTCAAAATAAAACAAAATAAAATAATTTTTAATTTCTATCCTGATTTCATTGTTTACCCCAAGATTATTTAAGAGTAAATTGAGGGTTCCTCTTTTTGTTAATTTCTACTTTTATTCCTCTGTAATCAGAGAAGTTACTTGGTATGATTTTTATTTTTATTTTTATTTTTTTTGAGTTGGAGTCTCACCCTGCTACCCAGACTGGAGTGCAGTGGCCGCTCTGGCTACCGCAGCCTCGACCTGCTGGGCTCCAGCGATCCTTCCGCCTCAGCCTTCCAAGTAGCTGGAACTACAGGCGTGCGCTACCACACCCGGCTAATTTTGTTTTTTTTAATTGTAGAGATGAGGTCTCACCAAGTTGCCCAGGCGGGTCTCGAACCCATGGGCTCAGGCAATCCACTCACCTTAGCCTCCCAAGGCACGGGATTACAGGCTGAGCCACCGAGCCCGGCTGATTTTGATTTTTTGAAATTAATAAGGCTTGATTTATGGCTGAGCATGTGGTTGATCTGAGTATGTTTCATGTGCAGATAAGCAGAATGTATATTCTGTGGTTGCTGGGTGAAGTATTCTATAGATACCTGTTAGGTCCAATTGGTCAAGAGCTGAATTTAAGTCCATGATTTATGTTAGTCTCTTGCCTTGATGAACTGTCTAAAGCTGTTTGGAAAAAATTGTACTTGAAACCAGCAGTCATTTTTGTTATTTTTAACCGTTTAATTTCAGTCAAAACCCATTTGGGGTTTTTGAAGTCCTAATGGGGTAATGCACGTAGGAACAATTAAATTCATAGTTTTCCCCCCATTCTTTTTTTTTTTTTTTCAGGACCAAGAGATTTATTAAAGTGGCGGTTACACGGGAAAAGGGAAAGGGTCTGTGGAGAGAGAGAGAGGAGGAAGTGGGAGAGAGGCGGGGAGAGAGCTGCAGAGAGGGAGAGAGCGACAGAGAGAGACAGAAAGAGAGACAGACAGAAAAGAGAGAGAGAGAGAGAGAGAGAGAGAGCTCCCCCCATTCTTAAACTGAGTAATACAATTCTAGCTGAGCACAAGGGTAATTATTATGTTCAGGACTTTAGCAGTGGCTGTCAAAGCATTTGATTCTGACTAGTTAATGGCAATTTGCCAATATATACTTTTAGACAGATTTCTTAAAAGTTTGGTTCAATGCATTAGAATGATCCAGGATGCTTGTTATAAATGCATCTTCTAGACTTGGAATCAATCCCTTCCAATAATGTCTATGTCCAGGGAAGAGAGAGGCTCACTACCTAAAGGCCTTAGTGCATCAACCTTGCCTTTACAGTAGATATGGCAGCTTCTAGAGCTATTCTTACTACTACTTTTTAAAAATTGTTTATTAATAAGTTATAATTGTATGCATTTATGGGGTTCAAAGTGATGTTATGATTTGTTAATACAGTGTAAGAGAATTAAATCAAGTAATTAGCATATAAATAACCACAAATACCATTTTTTGTGGTAAGAACATTTGATATTTACTCAGCAATTTTGAAATATAGTTAATGATACAACATGGTATCATTAACTATATTTTCCATGCTGTGTAATAGATCTAAAAGAAAACTTATTCCTCTTGTCTGAGATTTTTATACCCTTTGACCGTCATCTACCCATACCCTCCCTAGCCTCTGTAACCACCATTCTCCTCTCCATTTCTATGAGTTTGGTTGTTTTATATTCCATAAATAAGTGAGAGCTTGTGGTATGTTTTTTCTGTGCCTGGCCTATTTTACTTAGAATAATGTTCTCCAGTTCCATTTATGTTGTTGCAAATGACAGAATTTCCTTTTTTCAAAAAAAAGCTATATAGTATTCCTTTGTATTTATAAACCACCTTTTCTTTATCCATTCATCTGTTGATTCTATAGTTTGGGTATTATGAATAGTGCTGTAATGAACATGAAAGTACAGCCGTTTCATCGACAAACTGCTTTCCAATCTTTCAGGTAAATATCCAGAAGTGGAATTGCTGTATCATATGGTAATTATATTTTTAGTTTTTGAGGAACAATAGTACTGTTTTCCATAATGGTTTTACTAATTTACATTCTCACCAACACTTCTTTTTTTTTTTGAGTTGGAGTCTCACACTGTCACCCAGGCTGGAGTGCAGTGGCACGCTCACGGCCACCGCAGCCTCTACCTGCTGGACTCAGGCGATCCTTCCGCCTCAACCTTCCAATAGCTGGAACTACAGGCATACACTACCATTCCCAGCTAATTTTTTGATTTATTGTAGAGACGAGGTCTCACCAAGTTGCCCAGGCTGGTCTCAAACCTCTGGGCTCAGGTAATCCTCTCGCCTCGGTCTCCCAAAGTGCTGGGATTACGGGCTTGAGCCACCACGCCCGGTCTTTTTTTTTTTTAAGAGAGATGAGGTTCTCCCAGCCTTTCACCAACACTTCTTAAGTACAGTGGTTAGTTGGGTATAATAAGATCTTCCTCTATAAAAGTCAGATAATAGTATAAAACAACCTATGATTGATGCAAAATTCAGTAAGTGCTGGGGAAAGAACAACTCACTACAGGCTTGAATCAAGGAAGATATCATGGTGAAAACAAAGATACAGAGTTTAAATGGGGCTCTGAATTCCCGTAACCAAATCTAAGGATTTTAACTCAACATGTTTTCTATATCTATATCCTTCAGAGTATCCAAGATGAAGGAGAGCATAAAACAGGATAGAGAACAAAGAGAATGCATAAACAAAATCAAAGTCAAAGTGACCAACACACGGAAACAAGCTCTGAGGGAGCAATTCGATGAATGGATTCTAGACTCCAAAGGAATGATTCCTATGGTAGTGGTAAGAAAGCGGAGATGTGAAGGGTAGATGGGGTGGGTGATATTGAGGATAATTGCTAAGATACTTAGTAGGATGCTAGACAATTTCCTTGATATTTTCCGTACTGCTGAGATAAGTCTTGACATATCTGGTTCCATGAGAGTCAATTCCTTCAGTTTTCTCTTGGGCATTATAAAATATGAAAAGTTCTGCCAGGCTCGGTGGCTCAGCCTGTAATCCCGCGCCTTTGGGAGGCTGAGGTGAGTGGATTGCCTGAGCCCGCGGGTTCGAGACCCGCCTGGGCAGCGAGATCTCATCTCTACAATAAATCAAAAAATCAGCCGGGTGTGGTAGCGCATGCCTGTAATTCCGGCTACTCGGAAGCCTGGGCTACAGAGTGAGACTCCAACTCAATTTAGATTTCTGGGCTACAGAGTGAGACTCCAACTCAATTTAGATTTCTAAAATCTGTACTCTGGCTGAGGTTCCCAACTAGTCATTCATTTTATTTGTTTGGTGTGTGTGTGTATGTGTGTGTGTGTATGTTTTAGAAAACAGGATTGGCCGGACTCGGTGGCTCAGTCTGTAATCCCAGCACTTTGGGAGGTCGAGGTGAGTGGATTGTCAGAGCCCGCGGGTTCGAGACCCGCCTGGGCAACTTGGCGAGACCTCATCTCCACAATAAATCAAAAATTAGCCGGGCGTGGTAGCGCGCGCCTGTATTTCCAGCTACTCGGAAGGCTGAGGTGGAAGGATCGCCAGAGCCCAGCAGGTCGAGGCCGGGAGCGGCCACTGCACTCCAGTCTGGGCGACAGAGTGAGACTCCCACTCCAAAAAAAAAGAAAGCAGGATTTATTGAGAAGACAAAAAAGCTCCCACAGTGGGAGGGGACCCAAAGGGGTTGCCTGTTGTGTGTTTTTTTAATGGGTGTGTGTTTGTGTATGAGTACTCTGTGATACCTAAGAGATTATGTCTCTTAGTTCCAGAGAACAACTGTACTCTAAGGGTTAACTATTTTCTCTTTGGTGTGTATAGATTTGGAAATATTTAATGCCAAACATATTTTCATTTTAAAGTGAATGATTAAAAATGTACTGGCAGCAGACAGCAGAAACTCTTGCTGTTGTCCTGCCCGTTGTGCTCTTTACAACATATCTTTCCTTTAATAAACCTACCTTTCTTAATTAAAAAAAAAAATGAACCAAGGAAGACAAACCACAGACTGGGAGGAAATATTAGCAAAAGATATATTTGATAAAGGACTATTATCCAAAATATACAAACTCTTGAAAGTCAACAATTAGAAAACAGCCTGATTTATAAATGAAGATATACAGATGGCACATAAGCATATGAAAAGATGCCAAACATCATATGTCATCAGGGAATTGCAGATTAAGACATCAATGAGACACCACTACCACCTATTAGAATAGTCAAAATCCAAAACACTGACAACACCAAACTCTGGCAAGGATGTGGAGCAGCAAGAACTCTCATTAACTCCGAGTGGGAATGTAAAATGGTACACATCCTGACAGTTTTACAGTTCCCTTTTTTTTTTTTTTTTTTTTTTGAGTCAGGATCTCATTCTGTCACCCAGGCTGGAGTGCAGTGGCACGATCACGGGTGACTGAAGCGTCAACCTCCTAGACTCAGGCGATTTTTCTGCCTCAGCCTCCCAAGCAGCTGGGACTATAGGCACTTGCCACCATGCCCAGCTAATTTTTTTTATTTTTGTAGCAACAGAGTTTCTCAGGCTGGTCTTGAATTCCTGGGCCCAAGCAAACCTCCTGTCTTGGCCTCCCAAAGTGCTGAGATTATAGGCATGAGCCACCGCACCCAGCCCAGTTTGACAGTTTCTTATAAAACTAAAAATACTCTTACAAGACAAATATTGAATTGTTCCATTTATATGAGGTATTTAAAGTAGTCAAATTCATAGAACCAGGAAGTAGAATGAATGATGGTTGCCAGGGGCTGGGAGGAGGGGAAGGGGAGTTGTCTAATAGGTATAGACTTTCAGATTTGCAAGATTTAAAATTTCTAGAAAGCTATTTCACAACAGTGTAAATATACTTACCCATATACTTATGTATATAAACCTAAGAATGGTTAAGTTGGTAAATTGGATGTAACATGTTTTTTTTAACCACACACAAAAAAGTAAACTAAACATGCTCTTAACCTATGAAATTGAAAATTGAAAATGTATATTCACACAAAAACCTGCACACAGGTTTTTAGCAGCTTTGTTCATAATATCTAAAACTTGGAAGCATACTTCAATAGATGAATGGATAAACTGTATTTATAATATAAAATCTTATTCAGTGCTAAAAAGGAATGAGTTATCAAGTCATCAAAAAACATGGAGGAAGTGTAATGCATACTACTAAGTGAAAGAAGCCAGTCTGAAAAAGCTAAATACTGCATTATTCCAACTCTATGATATTCTAGAAAAGGCAAAATTATGGAGACAGTAAACAGATCAGTGGTTGCCAGGAGTGAGGGGAAGGAAGGATAGTCAGAACACAGGGGATTTTTTTATGATGCTATAAGGGTGGATACATGTCACTATACATTTTGTCAAAACCACAGAATGTATAACACCGAGAGAGATCTCTAATATAAACTATGGACTTTGAGTAATAATGATGTGTCAATGTAGGTTAATTGATTTTAACAAATGCACCACTCTAGTGAAGGATATTAATAGTCAGGGCAGTTGTGCATGTATGTGGTCAGGGGAAGCGGGAGTATAAGAGAACTCTCTGTATTTTCCACTCAATTCTTTTGTGAACTTAAAACTTCTCTTAAAAAAAAAAAATCTATTAAAAAAATAGACCAAACAGGCATGGTGGCTCATACCTATAATTCCAGCACTTTGAGAGAACTGAGGTGAGAGGATTGCCTGAGCCTATGGGTGCGAGACCAGCCTGGGCAACTCAGCGAGATCTCATCTCTACAATAAATCAAAAAATTAGTCAGGCATGGTGGCGCGTGCCTGTAATTCCAGTTACTTGGAAGGCTGAGGCAGAAGAATTGCCTGAGCCTAGCAGGTCGAGGCTGTGGTGAGCGTGCCACTGCACTCTAGCCTGGGCGACAGAGTAAGACTCCAACTCAAAAAAAAAAAAAAGACTAAGAAGAACTCTGAAATTTTGTTTTCATTGTTATTTTATTTTATTTGTTAAGTCAGAATTTCACTCTGTCACCCAAGCTGGAGTATAGTGGCATGCTCACCACTACCACAGCCTCGACCTGCTGGGCTCAGGTGATCCTTCCACCTCAGCCTTCCAAGTACCTGGGACTACAGGCACATACCACCATGTCCAGCTAATTTTATGATTTATTGTAAAGACAAGATCTTGCCAAGTTGCCCAGGCTGGTCTCAAAGCCCTGGGCTCAGGCAATCCTCTCGCCTTGGTTTCCCAAAGTGCTGGGATTACAGGTCTGAGCCACTACGTCTGGCTAAAATTTTGTTTTTAATAACTGAAGAATGAGAAAGTATAGAGGATTCTTTTTTTTTTTTTTTTTTTTTTTGAGTTGGAGTGTCACTCTGTCACCCAGACTGGAGTGCAGTGGCTGCTCCCGGCTGCAATCTCGACCTGCTGGGCTCCAGCGGTCCTTCCACCTCAGCCTTCCAAGTAACTGGAACTACAGGCGCATGCTACTATGCCCGGCTAATTTTTTTGATTTATTGTAGAGATGATGTCTTGTCAAGTTGCCCAGGCAGGTCTCGAACCCGTGGGCTCAGGCAATCCACTCACCTCAGCCTCCCAAAGCGCTGGGATTACAGGCTGAGCCACCGAGCCCGGCTAGAGGACTCGATGACCAGACTGGTTGCTAAAAAATGCCTTCGTTCCATTATGCCTGGTGTCTGAGAGTTGCTAGAAATATTCCCTTTAGGGGGCAAAATGTTGATCACTCTCAACATATCAATCCTCACACAAAAATGTTTGGAATCATTAAGAATATATATGTGGACTTCTGAGACCACATCCGCCTGCTTGCACCAACCTGTGCCTTTGCTCCTCTGCCGGTTCACACCACACCAGCTCACCATGGACGATGATATTGCTGTACTTGTCATTGATAACGGCTCTGGCATGTGCAAGGCCAACTTGGTGGATGCCGATGCTCCCTGGGCCATCTTCCCTTCCATCATGGGTCGCCCATGGCATCAGGTTGTGATAGTGGGCATGTGCCAGAAGAACTCCTATGTGAGTGATGAGGAGCGAGAGAGGTATCCTGACCCTGAAGTACCTCATCGAGCACAGCATTGTCACCAACTGGGAGGACATGGAGAAGATCTGGCACCACACCTACAATGAGCTGCGTGTGGCTCCTGAGGAGCACCCTGTGCTGCTGACCGAGGCTCCCCTGAACTCCAAGGTCAACTGTGAGAAGATGACCCAGATCCTGTTTGAGACCTTCAACACCCCAACCCTCCAGGCTGTGCTATCCCTGTATGCCTCTGGCCATACTACTGGCATCATGATGGACTCCGGTGACAGGGTCACCCACACTGTGCCCATCTACTAGAGGTATACCCTCCGCCACATCATCCTATGTCTGGACCTGGCTAGCTGGGACCTGACAAACTCATGATGATTCTCACTAAACGTGGTTACAGCTTCACCACCATGGCTGAGTGGGAAATTGTGCATGACATCAAGGAGAAACTGCTATGTCTCCCTGGACTTCGAGCAGGAGATGGCCATCGCTGCGTCCTCCTACCTGGAGAAGAGCTACGAGCTTTCTGGTGGTCAGGTGATCACCATCTGCAGTGAGCAGTTCTGCTGCCCGAAGGCTCTCTTCCACTCTTCCTTCCTGGGCATGAAATTCTGTGGTATCCAAGAAACCACCTTCGACTCCAACATGAAGTGCACTGTGAACATCTGCAAGAACCTGTACACCAACACAGTGCTGCCTGGAGGTACCACCATGCACCCAGGCATTGCTGACGAGATGCAGGAAATCACTGCCCTGGTACCCAGCATGATGAAGATCAACATCTTTGCACCCCTGAGCGCAAGTACTCCGTGTGGATTGGTGGCAGTTCCATCCTGGCCTGGCTGTCCACCTTCCAGCAGATGTGGATCAGCAAGCAGGAGTAGGAGTCCAGTCCCTCCATAAGGCACCACAAGTGCTTCTAGGTGGACTGTGACTAGCATGTTACACCCTTTCTTGACAAATCTAACTTGCCCAGAAGACAAGATCAGATTGGCATGGCATTATTTGTTGTTTATTTATTTGGGGTTTTTTTTTTTTTGGCTTGACGACTCTCAGGATGTTTTTTTTTTTACATAACAACAATGATAAATAGTTTAATGTGCAACTCTAGGCAAATTATTAATTTTTTATAATTCTCAGGATTTAAAATCTGAAACAGTGAAGGTGACAGTGAGTTGGTGCAAACATCCCCAAAGTTTTACAATATGGCCAATATCCGAATATCATGAGATGCATTGTTACAGGAAGTCCCTTGCCTTCTCAAAAGCCGCCCCACTTCTCTCTAAGGAGAGTATCCCAGTTCTCTCCCTATCCACATGGGAGAGGTAACAGCAGTGCTTTTGTGTAAATTATGTAATGCAGATGTTTGTAATCTTCGCCTTAATACTTTTGTTTGTTTGTTTGTCTGTTTTGGTTTTTGAGTTGGAGTCTCACTCTGTCACCCAGACTGGAATGCAGTGGCAGCTCCCGGCCACCGCAACCTCGACCTTCTGGGCTCTGGAGATGCTTCCACCTCAGCCTTCTGAGTAACTGGAACTATAGGCGCGCGCTACCACGCCCGGCTAATTTTTTGATTTATTGTAGAGATGAGGTCTCGCCAAATTGCCCAGGTGGGTCTGGAACCTGTGGGCTCAGGCAATCCACTCACCTCAGTCTCCCAAAGCGTGGGATTACAGGCTGAGCCACTGAGCCCGGCTTGCCTTAATACTTTTTAATTTTGCTTTATCTTGAATGATCAGCCACTGTGGCCCCCCTTTTTATCCCTGACTTGAGATGTATGAAGGCTTTTAGTATCCCTGGGAGTGGGTAGAGGTATGGAGGCAGCAAGGGCTTACCTGTATACTGACTTGAGACCAATTCAATAAAAGTGCACACCTGGAAAAACAAGAGAGAATATATATATGAAAGCACCTTATATACTTTAAAGTATTCTAAAAGGGAACTTCAGAAACTTCATGGAAAAATGGAATTAAAAAATAAAAAAAAAATATATAAACTTTATGAGGGGTGACCCAAAAAACCCTGGAATTGTCTTTTGGAAGGTGGGCCTCTTGTAGTACACTCAGAATTTATTCCTCAGGATCAAACAGTCAACCAAAGTTTTTATCTGGAAGTCTTGAGAAGGTTGCATCACAATTTGCAGAAGAAACATCCTGAATTGTGGCAAAGAGGTGACTGATTCTGCCACCATGGCAATGTACCTACCTACACTGTTGTGTTCAATCAAAAATGGCATGAGCACCCCCCATGCCCTACTCTCCCTATTCACCCAGTCTCGCACAGAGTGACTTTTTTTGTTTCCTCAAATGAAAAAAGTTCTCAAAGGGAAATGTTTTGCCAATGTGGAAGAGGTGAAACAAAAAACAACAGAAGCACTAAAAGGCATCAAAATAGAAGAGTTCAAAACCTGTTTTGAGCAGTGGAAAAAAGCATTCAATAGGTGTATCACATCAAACAGAGAGTACTTTGAAGATTACTAAAGATTAAACATGTAAGAATAAATACACAATTTTTAATAAGTAAATTTTGGGGTTTTTTTGATCTTCCCTCATATATCTCAACATAAGCTTCATCAAGTTCATGACACTTTGTAAGCAATAGTACCAGCCATTTAGTCCATCCCTAAAGAATTGAGAGTCCTGGGAATTTCGCCATGTGAATACAGTCTTTTGTACATTATTAACTGAAAAAAAAAATTGGGTCCCCTTAAAAAAATTTTTTTCTTAGATTAAAAAGCAAAAAGAAGTCAGAAGGAGCAAAATCAGGACTGTTAAATTGGATGCCTAATGATTTCTCATAGAAACTCTCATTAAGTTGCCCTTTTGTTATTGCTATTCTGACCAAACTGGACTTGAACTCATTATCCTTCTGTCTCAGCCTCCTGAATAGCTGGGTCTATAGATATGCAATCCCATCCCTGGCTTGTCTTTGTGTGCTATGGTGGAGAAAGACTTTCTGGTGAAGCTTTCCCAGGAAATTTGATGCTAAACCTTTCACTAACTTTCTCAAAACACTGTCATAATAAGCAGATGTTATTGTTCTTTGGCCTTCCAGAAAGTTAAAAGCAAAATGCCTTGAACAGCTCAAAAACTGTTGCCTTGATCACTGCTTTTGACCAATCCACTTTTGTTTTGATTGGGCCACTTCCACCTCTTGGTAGCCATTGTTTTGATTGTGCTTTGCTTTCAGGATCATACTGGTAAAGTTGTTTCATTTTCTGTTACAGTTCTTCAAAGAAATACTTCAGGATCTTGATCCCACTTGTTTAAAATTTCCATTCAGAGGTCTGTTCTTGTCTGCAGCTGATCTAGGCACAGCAGGTTTGGTGCCCATCAAATGGAAATTTTGCTCAACTTTAATTTTTCTTTCTTTTTTTTTTTTTGGAGTCTCACTCAACAGCCCAGACTGGAGTGCAGTGGCATGCTCCTGGCCACTGCAGCCTCAATCTACTGGGCTCTGGCAATCCTTCCACATCAGCCTTCCAAGTAGCTGGAATTACAGGCATGTGCTACCATGCCCAGCTAATTTTTGATTTATCATAGAGATGATGTCTCACCAACTTGCCCAGGTGGGTCTCGTACCCGCGGGCTCAGGCAGTCCACTTGCCTCGGCCTCCCAAAGTGCTGGGATTACAGACTGAGCCACTGAGCCTGGCCAATTTAAATTTTTCAGTCAGAATTGTGTAAGCTGAGCTATTTGCAATGTCTATGATGTTGGCTGTTGTTTCTGCTGATAATTGTTAGTCCTCTTCAGTCAGGGCATGAACAAGATGAAATTTTTCCTCAAGAATTGTTGTGGATGATCTGCTGCTGTGGGCTTCCTCTTCAACATCGTCTCATCCCTTCTTTAAATGAGCTGTCCATTTTAAACCTGCCGATTTCTTTGGAGCATTGTCCCCATAAACTTTTCATAAAGCATCAGTGATTTCACCATTCTCCCTCCCAAACTTCACCATAAGTTTGATGTTTGTTCTTGCTTCAATTTTAGCAGAATTCATGTTGCTTCGATAGGGGCTTTTTTCAAAACGATGTCTTAGCTCCTCAAGTTAGATCCTGTTGGGACACATTGTAACAAGTTATTATGAGTTTATTTTGATGTAAAAAATGAAATCCATGCATAGCTTTTTCAAAAGACTCATTTTCCAAGAATTTTTTAAGACCTCCTCTTAGAAGCTAAATGTGAATTATTACTATTTCTCTACTTGGGTTGTAAAGATCATCGAGGACTTAAACAGAAAAACTACAGGTGACTTTTAGTCTAAAATATTAAATATGTGGTAACTGAGGAGTAACATATGTTTTCTTTCCTTTGTGATTTTCAGATTCAGAATGTTCTTCATGATTTTTTTCAAAACCCAGACTTTGAGCTTGGTAAGTCTGTCTATTATTCTGGTATTTTTATTTATCTTTCTTTTTTTTTGGTAGGAGGGCACTGAATTCAGATGAAGAATCAACATGAGAGATGTTATTCAAAGTTCTTATAAATGTAATTAGGCTTTTCTGTGCTTTTCATATAGAAAATGTGGAAAAGCAGAGGAGCAACCAGGGATTCTCAATCCTTTTAGTCCAATGCCCCTTTTATTAACAGTACTCTGTAATACCCTTTTATTATCCTATGACATTCCTAGAAAATATTACTTACATACACAGAATCCTAAAATATATGATGTCATGACATATAAAGGAGAACCACAAGGAAAAGCACAGAAAATTATATGTACTATATTTCAATATATAAATGCTTCATTACAGCTTCACTAAAAGACATAATAGAGTAGTTAGACATTTCTGCCTACTTATAATGAATGTTTAGGTATAAGAAAAGTAAAATTATATACAATTGACCATTTTCTTTGTATTTGACATTTTGAAATGAGGGCAAAATGAATGTATTTGCTTCATACACACACACACATACACGTAGGGAAATCTTTAAGAAAACAAAAGCATAAAAATCTATTGTTCTTCATAAGGGTCGTACTGTCCTACTTTCCTCTCAGAGAGCATGATGGTAATTTGTAGGTGAGTTTTTTATTGCCACACACACACATACACACACATACATATATTCTTATGACTATCTACAAATGCAGACTGACACAGGTGTGTTGTATTAGAGTACAGATACAATTTATTATATTACTTCTTATTACACAATTTTCTGAAATTGTGAACAACTCTTGGTAAAGTTCCAGAATGAAACAAAGTACAATTCTCCCTCAAATTTGAACAGTGTTTATATGTGAAATAGAGTTAGGTCCTAGGTTCAAAATTATTATAAGCAGATTTTTTACCTACTTGAATGTCTTGCAGGGGAGGGAAAGTCTTGAATTGTAGGAGTTCTACCTCTGCTCCTATGCCTCATCATTGTGTCAATAAAAAACTCACCTACAAATTACCATCATGCTCTAGGGAGGAAAGTAGAACAGTACTACCCCTATGAAGAACAATAGATTTTTATGCTTTTGCTTTCTTAAAGATTTCCCTATATGAAATTAGGCAAAAAAAAAAAAAAAATTCTGACTTGTCCCATAAAGAACTAGAGTTGGGGCTCTGAGCTTTATTTATTTATTTAGAAGTCTCACTCTGTCACCCAGACTGGAGTGCAGCTGGGCTCAAGCAATCCTTCCACTTCAGCCTTCCAAGTAGCTGCAATTACAGAGATGCATCCCCCCATGCCCTGCTAATTTTTGTATTTATTGTAGAGATGAGGTCTTGCTATGTTGCCCAGGCTGGTCTCAAACCCCTGGGTTCAGGCAATCTTCTAGCCTCAGCCTCCCAAAGTTCTGGGATTACAGGCGTGAGCCACTGTACCTAGCCGGTCCTGAGATTTATATCATTTATAGTCAACTGATTTTTTTTTTAACAGTTGTGTTACATTGACAACAATAGATTGTTCTAAGTTTGTTGTCACTTTTATAAATAAAATATGCTTCCCATCTCCCTTATCACTAGTCCCCAAACATGATTTGGGCCTTTCTGACAGCCTTTTCTCATTCTACCTGTTCTCAACTATCCAAAAACTATAATTGTTAAGTCAGCTCAACCTTTACTCCTGTTTCAGAAAATATTTGAAGTGACTCTATTTATTCATTTGTTTTTGGATGGAGATACAGAAGGAGTGAGTTGAGAGAACCTTATTAGGGATGCTAATAAAATTAGAGAAATTCCAGACCTCTCCAGTTGGCAGTGATTGTTTCTTCTCTCACCTCCTAAACTCTAGTATTTATTTTCTGTACTGTTCATTCATTCATTTGATATCCATTAAGCCCTCACTTAGCTTGATACTGTAATGAAGTAGAGAATGAAAAGAGGACTGAAAAGACATGTTTTCTGTTGTAGGTTGCTCAAATCCAGTCAGGGAACAGATACATATACCTAATAGCAATTGATACTAATAGAAACCAGTCTGGTTTACATAATCATCTGGAGCTTAGAAGGTCTAGGATGGGGATATCACTACCTAACACGTAAGCTTACATGAAAGTTTATACAGTCCTCCCATGGCCACAATAACTGAAATTTCATGATTAGTACTTACAGAATTCAAGACTGACTAGAAAATCTTTTCTATGCCTTTGTGCCAGCCCATGATAGGCAGGAGGAGGAGTTATTATTAGAAGTAGGAGAGGAAGCCCGTGTATTAGTTCTTTCATCCTGAGCTTTCACACAATTTGTGTGTTTGTCTCTTGGTATAGTCAATAAGGATTACATAATGCCATATTAAATAAGGTTTAAAAATCTTTATTTCAGTTAACTCCCACAGTCAGTATTATTGATCACTCTGTTCATGAGACTCTATTTTCTCATCTTTTGTGATATTCTTAATTTTTCTTCTATCTTTGATCACCTCTTGGCTTTTTGTTTCTTGGCACTTTTTTGCTTGCACCTTAAGTATTGTTTTCCAGAGTTTTATTTTAGACTCCCTTATCACTTTACATACTATACACACTCTCTGAGTTTTCTTTTTTCTTTTTTTGAGTCAGAGTCTCATTCTTTCACCTAGGCTGGAGTGCAGTGGTGTGCTCATGAACACTGCAGCCTCAACCTACCGGGCTCAGGCAATCCTTACGCCTCAGCCTTCCAAGTAGCGAGTCTACAGGTATACACCACTATGCCTGGCCAAGTTTTTTTTATTTATTGTAAAAACAAGGTCTTGCCAAGTTGCCCAGGCTGGTCTCAGACCCCTGAGCTCAGACAATCCTCTCACCTTGACCTCCCAAAGTGCTGGGATTACAGGTGTTAGCCCCCACGCCCAGCTAGTCTCTGGGTTTTCTTATTCAAGTCCATGCTGATGATGATTCCCAATCCATATTTCCATTCCAAATTTCTCTAAGTTCCAGATTCGACTTGAAAAGCCTACAATGAGTAGTAAGTGAAAAAAGCAAAATGATCATATTTATATATTGAAAACAAGATACATGTGTATATGTATATATGTTTGGGGGCCCCCCCAAAACATGGAATTATCTTTTGGAGGGTGGGCCCCTTGTAGCACACTCAGAATTTGTTCCTCTGGATCAGTCAACCAAAGTTTTTATCTGGAAGTCTTGAGACGGTTGCATCACAATTTGCAGAAGACACATCCTGAGTGACAGGTGACTGGTTTTTCCACCATGACAATGCACCTGTCCACACTGTGCTGTGTTCAGCATTTTAGGCCAAAAGCTGCCTGACCCTTTGGTCCCACTCTCCCTTTTCACCCAATCTTGCCCAGAGCAACTGTTTTTTTGTTTCCCCTGGATGAGAAAAGTCCTCAAAGGGAAATGTTTTTGCCGATGTGGAAGAGGTGAAACAAAAATGGCAGAAGTACTAAAAGACATTAAAATTAGATGAGTTTAAAAACTGTTTTGTACAATGGAAAAAGCATCTTGATAGGGGTGTTGTATTAAACAGAGAGTACTTTAAAGGTGACTGAAGTTTAAACATGTAAGAATATACAATTTTTTAGAAATAAATTCTGGGTTTTTGGGGGGGTCCTCCCTTGTATATAGAAATACAGAGAAAGGTTGCTGACATCATTGACAGTCGTTATATCTGGGGCAGAGGGGAATGATAGTGCTGAGAGGGTAGGGAAAAAGGAAGATATTCATGTTTTGCTGCTTATATTTTTGTGTTTTAATTTTTACAAAAAGAACATATTCATATGTTAATTATTTAATTTAACAACTGGCTAGCATAAATGGTAGCATAAGCCAACACAGGTGTTTTTGTGGTCTTTTATACTATTGATGTACATTTTTGTTTCTGCTTTATTCCAGCCTAGTCATTAAAAATATAGGCTTGTTTGGGCACGGTGGCTCATGCCTACGATCCCAGCACTTTGGGAGGCTGAGGGGAGAGGATTGCCTGAGCCCAGGAGTTTGAGACAAACCTGGGCAACATGGTGAGACCTCGTCTCTATAATAAATCAAAAAGTTAGCTGGGCATGGTAGTGCATGCCTGTAGTACCAGCTACTTGGAAGGATGAGGCAAAAGGATCACCTAAGCCCAGAGGTCAAGGCTGCAGTGGCCATGATTTTCACACTACACTCCAGCCTGGATGACAGAGTGAGACTCCAACTCCAAAAAAAAAATTATAGGTTAGGCGCAGTGATTCACACCTAAAATCCCAGCACTTTGGGAGGCTGAGGTGAGAGGACTGCCTGAGCCCATGAGTTTGAGACCAGCCTGGGCAACTTGGTGAGACCTCATCTCTACAATAAATCAAAACATTAGCCAGGCATGGTGGCGCATGCCTGTAACTCCAGCTGCTTGGAAGGCTGAGGCAGAAGGATCACCTGAGCCCAGCAGATCAAGGCTGTGGTGACCGTGAGTGAACCACTGCACTCCAGCCTGGGCAACAGAGTGAGATTCCAACTCAAAAAGAAAAGTACACACACACACACACACACACACACACACACACATTTATAAATATACACATATATAGTTTTTTAAAGCATTTGAGTTTCTTGGCTAAATAAAGTCCAGGAAAAATAATAATTCTGTAGTAATTGGTATGTTACTCACCTACATGTCATTCACCTTATTATAATTATGAGTAGACTTTAGCTAAGAAATAATTTTATGTTCTTTTAAAAGCACTATAGTATAAATGTCAAATATGTATTACAACCAAACTAACTAGCAAATATTCTTTATTCCATAATTAGAATCACATTGCAAAGAGTTGGCTATTACTGACTCAACAGAACCAAGACTGGACAAAACGGAATTTACAGAAGTAAGTTACATTGTTTAACATTTGAATCAAATTATTTTACCTGTTTTAATTGTCTTTTGGTGGCTGTCACACATACATTAACTTAGAAGTAAATTAAATTAAAGCATCACACTTATTTTATTGATTCTAAGATACACACTTTAAAATATTTCAACCCCTCTGAAATTAGGTAACATCTTACAGTCAAAGGTATCTTATAATTTCTTTCAATCAGTGGCACTCATGACATGAAACTTTGAAAAACTTCCACTGACACCTTCTGGTAAGATCAAGAAAAACCAGTTCTTATAGTCATGAAGTCTGGTTATACAAATAATGAAATCTAAAAGTTATAAAAACTTTCCTGTGGGCCAGGCACTGTTGCACTGTCCTAAGTTATCCATATATGAACTCAGGTAACTCTCTCAGCAAACAACCTCATCCTCTACTTTTACAAATGACAACTCCAAGGTGTAAAAAGGTTAAATAATTGCACATAATCTCACAATTTGTGGAACTAGGAAAATTTGTATCCAGGCAGTTTGGTTTCAAAGTATACATGATATTGCATCTAAGAAAGTATGAATCTGTTGTAGTAGAATAAGTGAAAGAAGAAATTTAATGGTACCAGAGTCCTAAACTTTCATAGCCCACTTTTATATTTTTTTCATGTTTCTTTATTTCCTCTTGTATTTCTTGAATGAGTCCCAAAGTCAAGGTAACTTTCTCTTTCTCCTCTCATATACTCTTGCTCCAGTGAAGGTGAAGGTTATGCACTAAATAAATTTCAAGACTTTGTATGAAGGATTCCTGGAACCCTTTTCAAAATGATTATTTTATTTTATTTTTTGAGTTGGAGTTTCACTCTGTCACCCAGGCTGGAATGCAGTGGCACACTCACGGACACCACAGCCTCAACCTGCTGGGTTCAGGCGATCCTTCTGCCTGCCTTCCAAGTAGCTGGAACCACAGAGGCACATCACCACGCCCAGCTAAATTTTTTGATTTATTGTAGAGACAAGGTCTCCCCAAGTTGCCCAGGCTGGTCTCAAATTCCTAGTCTCAGGCAATTCTCTTGCCTCTGCCTCCCAAAGTGCTGGGATTACAGGCATGAGTCACCACCTGGTCTCAAAATGATTATTCTATTGACAAAAATTTGGTACATTCTATTTCAGTGATGTTCTAACTGTGTTTTCTTAGATTCTGTGTTTGTCTATTTGACATCCATTAGTCACAGGGACAAACTAATAGCCAAAGTTGTATATATCTTCCCTCTGTTCCAGAACCCATACTATGAACCACTTCCTTGCTAATTCTCACACACCAATTCAATATTTTCCCTGTTCTAAATCAAGGGCCAGGTACCAGACAGCTAGATATAGCCCTTATACCCCAGTGTTTGCCAGAATTATCCAGACTAGCCAATCCTAAACTGTTTATTTTGCCGTGGCTTGCATTTCCTGCACAAACCCCAGTAAGGCTTAGGCTTTCCCTTTGCTCCTTCCTACTTCTGTCTCCTGATGCAAACTTGTTACTTCCTCTGTGATTCTGCGTAGTATGGCATACTTCAATCTCCTGGAAAAATTTTTTTTTTCAGTGGCATAAGCCTCTCTGTGTCAGCACTCAGTCACCTCCATAAATTAAAATCTCACAAACACAAATTAGACAAGGTACTCAAAGAAAAATATGCAGAGGAACAAATGATAGCGTTAAAATGGTTCAAGAAGTCAAAACTTTGTCACTTTAAGATAGTGATAAACATAACATTTCTTTGCTTATTTGTCTTATATTAGTTTCCCTAAAAGTGGAAAAGTTATAAAATTTCCTTTTTTTAAATTATAAAAGTAATCTTTGCATGGTGTCTCATGCCTGTAATCCCAGCAACTCAAGAGGCAGAGGCAGGAGAATCACTTGAGGCCAGGAGTTCGAGAACAGTCTGGGCAGCATAGTGAGAACTTGTCTATTAAAAAAAAAAATACACACACACACACACATATACATATATATATACACATATATATAAATTTTTATGTGAATTACATCTCTATAAAAATATGTCCATTATAGAAAATTAAATATAGAAAAATATAAAGTAAAAAAATTATAAATCCACAATTCTGCCACCAGTAAATAGCTACTTTAACATTATATTTTTTGTATAATAATAGCTAACTTTTTTTTACCACTTTTTTATGTACCCATAGAGTGTACTGACGTAATTACATGCACTTTCTTTTGTAATGCTTATATCTCAGTTATTAGTATCTTCCTTTTTCAAATGAGACTTGGGAAAACTGAGTACTTTTCTCAAGATCACACAGCACATAAATGACAGAGCCAGATGCTAGAACCCAGATCAGCCTGACTCCAAAGTTCATCATGGTCTTGACCCTTGTGCTTTGCAGTGTCTATTATATTCAAAGTGAGACATGTGAGGTTTAAGTTCTAATTTTGTGATCTTTTCTTTTAGATTTTGATTCATGTCTAGTACATAATTGTATATCCTACTTTTTTCACCTAACATCATATCTTGATCATTTCTCTATGTCAATAAATATTCTTTAAAACATGATTTTTAAAACTTTTCACTTTGCAAAGATAGTACAGAGATGTCCCACATGCCCTTCATCCAGTTTCTCCAAATGTTATATCTTGAATGACATTGGTATAATATCAAAACCAGGAAATTAACATTGATGCAATGTGTGTGTGTATAGTGCTATGCTATTTTATCATTGGCATAGATTTCTGTCACCACCACCAAAATTAAGATATAGAACTATTTCAGTACCACAAAGGTCTACTGGTAGTGACATTTTAGCAATTCAAATGAAATGTAGAAACCTTACCTCCCCTTAAGTCCTATTACACTTTTCCATTTATAACATTATTGTCTTAAATATGTCCTGTACATACATCACTTGAGGCACTATCATACTTTCTGCTTTAATTGTTAAACATAACTTAGAAAACTCAAGGAGTGAAAATAATTCTATTAGTATTTACCTGTATTTTTTGCTCTTTTCATTATTTTTCTGATATTTCAAATTTTTTTCTTTTATGCATTATGTTTAGATAATTTCCTATAGTCATTCTTTTAGAGTAGGTCTACAGATGACAAATTCTGTTAGTTTTCTGTTGTTGGAGGATGTCTGTATTTTCCCTTTTTTCCTGAAGGATAATTTCATCAGGTATAGAATTCTGGGTTGACAGTTGTTTTTTGGGTTTTTTTGGCACTTGAAAAATTTTTTGTCACTTCCTTCTGGCCTCCACTTCATTTGAATTGTTTTTCCTCAGTAGTAGGCAAGGTATTGTTTTGCTCTTGCTAGTTTGTCTTTAGTTTTCTAAAGGTTGGTCTTGATGTCTCTTGGTATGAATCTCTTTGCATTTATCCTGCTGGGATTTGTTCAGCTTCTTGAATCTGTAGATTTATCTTTTAACAAATTTGGAACATTTTTAGTTATTTCTTTGAAAACTTTTTTAGCTTCTCCCCCTCCCCCATCTCTTTCAGGAACTCTGATGACATGAATGATAGATCTTTTGTTATAGTCCCATGGATTCTGTTCTTTATTTTTTCAGTCTAGTGTTTTCTCTCTGTTGTTCAGGTTGAGTAATTTCTACTGTTCTGTCTTCAAGTTCATTGATTCTTTTCTCGGTTCTCTACATTCTGTTGTTAAGCCCATTCATTTAGCTTTTTAATTTCAGTAGTTGTATTTTTTTTTCCTTAGAGACAGGGTCTCACTGTGTTTCCCAAACTGGACTTGAATTCCTGGGCTCAAGTGATCTTCCTGCTTTACCCTCCTAAGTTCTATTTTCCATCCCCAAATTTCTGTTCAGTTCTTTTTTACATCTTTTATTTTTTTGCTGAGACTTTTTATTTTTTTTCATTTATTTCAAGCACATTCATAATTGCTTGCTGAAGTATTTTTATTATTATTTTGAGTCAGGGTCTCACTCTGTTGCCTAGGCTGGAGCATAGTGGCATGATCATGGCTCATCACAGCCCTGACCTCCTAGGCTCAGGTGATCCTTCTGCCTCAGCCTCCTAAGTAGCGGGGATTGCAGTCACATGCCACCACACTCAGCTACTTTTTGGATTTTTTTGTAGAGACAAGATCTGACTATGCTGTTTAGGATAGTCTCAAACTCCTGTGCTCAAGAAATCTTCCCACCTCAGCCTCCCAAAGTGCTGGAATTACAGGCATGAGCCACTGCTCTGGCCTGAAGTATTTTATTTTATTTTATTATTATTATTTTTTTGAGTTGGGGTCTCACTCTGTTGCCCAAGCTGAAATGCAGTGGCATGATCATGACTTACTGCAGCCTCAATCTCTTGGGTCTAGGCGGTTCTTCCTCTTCAACTTCCCAAGTAACTGGAACTACAGGCATACACCACCATGCCTAGCTCATTTTTGATTTTTTGTAGAGATGAAGTCTCACAATGTTGCCCAAGCTGGTCTCGAACTTCTGGGCTCAAGCAGTCCTCCCACTTGCCTTAGCCTCCTAAAGGGCTGAGATTATAGGTATGAGCCACCACATCTAGCCTGAAATGTTTCATAGTGTCTGCTTTAAAATCCTTCTCAGATAATTCCAACATCTGCATCATTTCAGTGTTGACATCTGCTGATTATATTTTCTCATTTGAGCTGAGATTTTCCTGGTTCCTAGTACAATGTGATCTATTTTATCTTGGACATTTTGGGTCTAATGCTGAATCTTATTTGCATCTTGTTTTAAAAGCCTTCCTCTGATACCATGTGGTGTAAGAAGAATGCCAACTCTCTACTGCCAGATGGGCATGAAGATCCAAGTTTCTTATTCACTTATCTCTGATACCATGGGGGCAGGGGGAAGGTGCCTTGTTACTGCTCAGTACAGGTGAAAGTATCAGTTTTTCACTTTTTTTCCCCCACCACCACAGGGAAGGAAAAAGGTACTTGGCTATGACTGAGGAGGCTCTCCACTTGGCCTTTGCTAATGGGGGTGGAAAAGAGGCCATAGTTTTTACTGTGTTTGACTGG